CCTAGCAACAGTTATCTAAAGTTAATATTTCTTCGATCACTGTGGGAAACTGTTATAATGAAATCGTCAGTTGTTAGGAACCTTGGCTCGTACATTGATGACAAGCTGTCAATGAACTCCCACATCAACAAAGTCTGTAATGCATCATTTTACTATCTCCACAACATTAGGCGGATAAGAAAACACCTATCGCGTGACCCCTCAAAGAGAGCTGAGTAGATTACTGTAACAGTTTACTCTATGGATTGCCACAGCAAAGAGTTCAAAACGCAGCTGCAAGGCTTATGTTTGAGCAACCTAAGTTTTGCCATATAACACCAGTCTTATCTCAACTTCACTGGCTTCCCATCAAGTATTGCGTTGAGTTTAAGATTTTAGTTATGCCTTTTAAAGCTATTCATGGCATGCTGCCAGATTTTATTTGCAAATTGCTCAGCCAAAGGAAATCAACAGGATATTCCCTCAGATCCAGCAAACAAGTTATGCTTGAGGTTCCAAGCGGCAAGATACCCCAAGAAATCAATAGGATATTCCCTCGGATCCAGCAAAAAAGTTATGCTTGAGGTTCCAAGAGGAAAGATACTCCCAACACTTGGTGGTAGAGCATTGTGTTATGCGGCCCCAAAGTTCTGGAACAACCTGCCTAGCAAAATATCCAGCCTTGACTCTCTGTCAAATTTTAAATGCCATGTGAAAACATACCCTTTGAAACAAGCTTTTTAATTTGTAGTAGAGTATTTGTTTTGTCTATTTTATTATTTAACACTTATTGTCATTTCATTTAGAAGTAGTTTAAACTGTTTAGATTGCAGCTATGAACAAGGTAATTTAACAGACCTCTCCTTGCCTCTTTGATACTGCATCCCAGCCTTGTCAAAATTATTAAACTGTATAGGAATTCCTAGATCGTAATGTGCAGTCCTTTTTTGCAGGTTAAATTTGATTTGGATTTAGCACTCATCGGAGACAAGCAAAATGAGTATGAGACAGCTATCCTGTACATGCTGTAGGTAAGAGATCATTCACAGACCAACTATTCCCTAATGCAAAAGCAACTTCTACTTTAATTGTATTCTTATTGACTTGAACTTAAATGTTACATGTGTAAGTCAATAAAATTTGAAATATAATTGTAAATAAATTAGTACATGGATAAATGTTGTAGTTTGAAATGATTTTTAGTTCAAAATGATTTCAGCAGAATTACCAAAATACATGTAATATTTCTGAACTTGTAGAAAAAGTATGTTTTATAATTATTGCTAAGCTGGCCCATCTGCGAGCCATGCAAATTGTGTGCGCTATAAGCAAAAATAATGTTTTATAAAAATGAAATTATTTTACTGATTAGGGTTTTGCTGTTGTTTTTCTTCGACTGTTTGCCTTTGATGATCATTGATGCTCTGTGTTTGGTGTATCTGGGTCTTCACACATTTGTTCAAATCTCATTTCATCTCTTGAATTGCATCCAAAAACTACTTCATAAGAAATCTTTGCTATTGGTCTGTATTTGGTGATGTTTGTCCCAGAGGTTGCTTCTTTTCTAAATTGACATCAGTGGTTAGGTGACAAGTTTTTCCCATGTGGGAAATAATGGCTGGCTGCCGGCTAATTTCATTGGCTGAAAAAGAACTGACTACTAGCGCAAATTGTCTTGGAAAACAAAGACATGGGGTACTTTGAGGGTGCAGTTGAGTTAAAAAGCTGGCTAGGCTAGAAAAAACCTTGTTAGCTTTTACCATGGGCTGGGTTGAGTAAGAAATTACTAAAATAGCAAAAACAATGGTCTATTTATCAACCATAACATAATCACCCTGGCAATGGCCATTTTCAAAACATCAAAATGGAGGTCAAGACAGAGGAAGAGTATTGACAAAATTTCTGGTTTATAATAAAAATAATAATAATTATTATTATTATTATGGATTTATAGAGCACTTTTTCTCCAGGATTCAAAAGCACAGTTTACAAAGAATAACTAATTCAAATGAGAATAAAAAGAATGAAAAATTTGTACAATACAAATTAAGAAAATTAACTACTGCTGGAAACAAAGAAGAAGTAATAATCTATGTATAAAAAGCACGTTTAAAAAGAAAAGTCTTCAATCTACTTTTAAAAATGTCAATAGAACTGGAATTCTTAATGTCTTTGGGCAAGCTGACCCAAAGTTAGGGTGTCACAATGGAAAAGGCACGCCAGCCATAAGATTTTAAATTGAATTCACGGGTACCAAGTAAGTTATGACCTAAGCTCACACACTGGTTGGTACCATTTTATCAGATCGTTGATGTAAACAGGAGTGAAATCGTGGAGGGCTTTGAAAGTAATGAGAAGAAGTCTTGTTTTATTGCCCCCTTTATAATGTTTTCTTTGTACTATGAATTCGGAAACACATTGGGGGCAGGGAAAAATCTCACCTTCATCTTGATTCTCCTCAATCTTTTTTTAGCTGAAAAATATCCCATTTGTTTCTGGGAACAATGAGCATTTACAATGTGCTGTGAGTCTCACATCTAGCAATGGAGCTGCTGGTAATGTCTCTCTTGTTGGCACCTTTGGAGCCTCTGCAGCAGCTGTTTGTGTTTGGTCAACTGCAAAATCCCATATCAGCAGCATGCTGTGTTCATCACTCTCCTAGGGATCGATCCTAAATCCCTAAAGTTGGAGAACTTGACCGAAGAAACATATTTTAACTAAGGTGCTCGATTCAACAACGATAACCGGGTTGACTTGAGACCTTCAAGTTTCCTGCGCAGTTACCTGCTTAGAGGTAGAATGCACATCTGTCTTTCCGATGGTAAGTCAATGAAACTGAAGTGGGTGAATAGCCCATCCATGGAAAGAAACGGTAAACTTGGCACAGTAAAATGAAGAGTATTCAAAAGGTCACAACAGGGAAGATATGCGGCACTTGAGCTTTTAAACAAGTCAGCCTGCGCCTCTTGCATCTCGAAAGCACCCATCTATCTCACTACTGAGGTTAAGAGTTGTGATGTCTATCATGTTTGGCTTTAGATGAAGCAAAACAATTTTCACACAGTTGTGAAAGATAATGTAAAGGTAAACATAATTATGTCTGATGTGCGTACTTTGTTTTCTGGCATTATTCCTGTTAAAAACATGAACCTGCAACCCACCCAAAAAGAAATGATAATAATAGTAATAAAAAAATAATAACAGTGATAATAATGATGATGATGATAGAAGTGCATTTATATAATAATTTACTATTATTATGTATTTATGTCGCGGTGGCTATGGAGAGTGACTACACCCCCAAAATTACTTGCTGCGGTGGTGGGAGCTATGATGCTCACTGTTGGAATTCCCAGCTGTAGGGTGGCTGATTATCTTATTTGAAGGAGATAGAGCACCTGATCCTGGGCTGATCCGCTCTAACCTGGCTTGTTGCACTTGTGTGCATAGGGGCAAGGGGTCCTGGCACATGAGAAACCCTTGCCGAAGTTGTGGCAAGTACGATATTCGTTCCCTCTAACTGTACCTAGCATGGATGAGGGTCATGACTGGAAAAAACCAAGTTCTTCCTTCATAAGTGAAGGGGCAACAGTAACCGTTTTAGGCTATAGTTGGCTGTCTGTTGTCGACCACTTAAACTTGACATCATAAACACACCAACCTTGGCTGGTAGCCTTATTTAGCTGCATACCGAATTGAGGAAAGGTATTCTAACAATTCTGCAGCATGACTTGGGTGCTTGCTGATAATAACACTCATATAAGCTGTAAAAGCCGAGGTCCACTCCTCTATGTAGGTTGTTGAAGTGGCCTTGGCCTTATACCCCAATAACTGAGTTCTCAAGAGTCAGAGTGAGAGGCTCGTCATGGAGAGGCTGTGGTGAATTAAAGTTCTTTGGTAATAATTCGGAAAGTTCCATAAACTCACCTAAGAGGATCTCCTTCACAAGCTTGGGTGGGGGTTCGTGTACTGAATCCAAAATCTTGTTGGGATGCAGAGGAAATGCTGTTGATATCATTCCCACTTGCGCCATCAACAGCAGTAACATTAAGGGTTTCTTGGACTTCAAAATGAACGTTGCCCTCACTCAACGTGTTTCTCTCAGGAACAACAGCTTGAGAAGACGACGAACAACCAGTGAAGGTGTTCTTTGCAGGTTGGGCAGCTGTGGCCGCTGTCTGGTCGATTGTCTTGTTGATGGTTGCTTGGACCTGAAGGACTTAAACTTGGGTCAACTGGCTCTCAGGCAGCATTCTTTTGTCCAAAGAGTTGAGGTTTAGCAGGTCCTGGACTTGTTGTTGCAACTGCTGAAACTGCTGCTGGAGCTTGGTCTTCCGAAGAAAGGTAAAGAGTCAATCATTCCTTGTACCTCAACAAGAAGTGCTTCAGTTTTTCTGGTTTTGTTTTCAATTGTGACGGTGCACTCGCCCATGATTGGAAGGTCATCGTTGAGTGCCGTCAACTTTATCTTGGATTCTTGAAGTGCTATTTCTAGTATTTGTGTTTGTAGTTTTCATCAGTGATGTTTGTGTCAGCGCCGGTATCTGGCTCAATTGTGGCTTCTATACCATTTATGAAGATCGTGCAGGTCTTTTGAATGCCTTGACTCGCTTTGTGTATCTTTAAGTGTATTTGTCTTTGCGGATCGCATCTCATTCGGGAACCGTTCAGATAGCGGGTTTTGTCTTAAGCTTGTTGTGGACGATAGCCTTTCATTTCTTGAGGTTTACTTCGGCAGAGGTTTGCATAGTGATTTCGTTGTCTCCATCGGTGTAAACAGCACCGAGCACGGGTTAAATTTGTGTGTGTTTATGCCCACAGCAACCAAATGGCTTTGAAACTGGGTTTTCTTCGATGCGTTTGACATGTTTTCCTACGTGAGAAATCTTCTTTTCCATTTTTGTCGCTTGGTGGTTGGTCTCTTCGTCAATAGCGGCTTCATTGACGATCTCTTGAAGGCAGAAGGGTCCAGCCTTGTCGAATGGCTTTAACTCGAATTCTTCCGTTACGCGTTGTTTCAATTAATGGTCTGGAATGACATCGTTTTCATCGTGATATTCGTATTTCTTGTCGATTTCTTGTACCTGAGCGAAGTATTTGGCAAGAGATAGGTCTTCCAGTTGTTGCAGATTACCAAGTTGGAATCTCGCATAATCTTTGTTTTTCTTTGGGAGAAAGTATTTGTCCAGCTTTTGGATGAATTTCGTGTAGTCATCTGCGGGTGGGTGTGTGGTTTCCACATCTGGTAAAGAGTCTTCTAGATCGGCACACTGTTCAGAAAACACCCCAAAAGGAGAAAAGATAGAAATCTGTAGAAATCAAAATGATATCATATAATGATATGACTAAAGCATTATAAGTAGATTAAATCAGTGTGCAACATCCTAAATAGAAAAGCTTCTGAGGTGGCTGTTGCTTATTTACAATGGTCAAAAGTTTTAATTAAGATTAGACTTATAATTATTTACAAGTCAAGAGTAGTTATGAAAATAATTTTATGACTTATAGTGCGTGTGTTACATGGAGATATGCTCACACGTGCATTGCACTACAATGATTACAATGAAACATAGTGGTGTATATGACAGTATAATTATAAAAAATATGAATAAAACAATGATTAATCTCGCAAAAAAGATAACACTCGTACGTATGTGGGCCATCCATGGGTAGCTACATATATTTCCATTTGGGACAAATACAACTCTCAAGAGAGGGAAGGGATATGAAAATACAACAACTCACAGAGCGAGCGAACCGAACGATACAACACACGAGCTTACAAAATGAAATGCAATTTCTAACTGTACAATACAAGATCATTATGAACTTGAATTTACTATTTATAACAATAACATTATTTGTATTGCGCCTTTTCTATAAAATATTCAAAAGCGCATCACAACAGTAATTAATAACTTAAAATTTTACAAATCTTTCTATAAAAATCATAAAAAAATATTTACATAAAATTAGTAAAAGATAATTACAAATAAAGATATAGATAAACTAAGATAACTGAAATGATTCCTTAATAAAAATGTCTAAGTTCGTTGCTTCGCGCGCGGACCTTGGCAGCTTATTCCCGAGGAAAGGAGCAGCTACCTGGAAAGCTCTGTCTCCCAATGTTTTGTTTCTTTTCACACTTGGTCTTTCCAACAAACGACCATTGTCGTTGCGCCTCACGTGGTAGGACGAAGGCTGTTGAATACTAATTAAATCTAAAAGGTACTTAGGTGATAGGCCATGCAAAATTTTAAAAGTTATCAAGAGTATCTTATAATGTATCCTTGAGCGCACTGGTAACCAATGTAATTCTGCGAGTAGAGGTGTTATATGACAGAACTTGTGCGCACGATATATAAGTCTTGCACTCGCATTCATAACACGTTGCAATTTCATAGTCTGATATTCCGGGATTCCATACAGAAGGCTATTACAATAATCTAATCTACTACTAATAAAAGCATGAACTAATTTCTCAGTTGATTCTCTGGATAAATATCGTAATTAATCATGCAATAGAGACAACAGTCGTACTTATGTGGGCCGTCGATGGGCAACTACATATATTTTCCATTTGGGACAAATACAACTGCCCAAATAAATGCCCAAATGGTAAAGTTGGTGGTAAGAGAAACTAAGGGAAAGAAAACAAGCTGTCCACTAGGAATCTTGAGTATTCTGTTAGTAGGGATTAGCATATTGATAAGTTTTTGACGCAGTCTTTACTATTCACTGAGGGAACTGGAGTAGGACATTTAGCGGGGAACAAACATAGGTTTTGTAACAGTCTGATTTCCAGCGACCTAACATTTAAATTTCGTAGTCAGCAAGGTCAGCCAAAGAAGCAGACGTGGCGCCACCGATCCGAAAGCTGTGTCCGCTATAAGCGGTAGGATCTACACCAATGAGTCCCAGCTAGTGGGACACGAATGTTACTAGCTGTTGCCTGGTCAGGGCCTGATTATTGTCTAACAGGAAGAGCGGCCACTTCTCAGACACATTAGCGCAGCTCTATTGAAGAGTAAGGTTAGATTTCATTGTGCAGGCTGGGCAGACTGAATGGTGTGTGTGAGACATAAAGAGTCACCCCCTGGTGTCGTTGGTCAGTATTCAACTGTTTTATGTGTACCATCCAGTAGTGCTGACTGCCTGGGGACTGATGAGAAGTGAAGTCACCGAGTGCGAGATTGCATGAGGGGTCAAAGTGCTCCTTGTTGCATAACATGAACTCCCCAGCACGCAATAACAAGAAATGGCCACGGGTAATTGTAGACAATATCGTGGTTACAGTGGAAGTTCATGAAGGGATGAATTTTGCAGAGAAGATCAAAGGTAACTGGCATTTTCTGTTTTGGTGCGGCAAAATTATTCCGATCAATACCGCACCGAGTTTGCTGGAGACCAGGAGTCAAGGGGTTGTTGTAACCATTAGAAACATGAAGAGAGTGAACGCCGTCCAGGTAAACATTAATGGACTGAGGCTTTATTTGCGCTGCTAGGGAGGTGACGAACAAGATCAACGTCCGATGCTGGTAAGGGAGTAAGACCGTACGTATCAGAGAAGCTGAGGAACTGTTGTTGGGCAGTTTACTCACAACAGTACCAGCAATTTCCATGAGTTGATTGCCGATGTGCTGTTAACCAAGGGCTTCGATGGGCTGCTCGCCGCCTCTTGTGGTTTCTCTTGTGCGAGAAAGGGACAATTTCCATCTCGTACTTGGTCCACACTTGCCACCCGAAATTAAACGAGTTCACAGGGTGCTTGCATGGAGGCCTCGCAATAGGGATTAGGTTGCCTGAAAGCGTTCACAACATTCCTCCCTGTGATTGGATCGCAAAACGCTTAAAGAAGATAATACTCTGAAAAAAACCCCTCATTGATGGCAGCTGGGACGAATTTTTACGGTAGATGGTGTGCTTTGGGTGCTTGTTTAACCGGCAACAGAGAATCGCTGGTGCCTGGGCCTTAAGAGTGACTTGCATCCTTGTGAGTTGTCTTGGAGGTGTTCCCGGTGGAGATTTCATCCATTCATTCCATTCTTTCGTGATGCCTTCCAAATGCAGGAACAGATTCTGCATCGCATCAAGAAGCTGCTGCGTGTCAAGTTGCTTTTACGGGCCGCTCTCGGCTGAAGACAAAGAAACAGATTTTCCCTGGCATGACGGCAACTCCTCGCCTTCTGATAATTCGTCGTCAAAAATCTTGTTCTTAACTGGCACAGTGTTTGGTTGGGGCAGCGAAGGCATGGTTCTTTTTCGGAGTCTTGCAGTCAGGGTAAAGAGATTTGCGCTTAGCAGGTATAATAAACACAAAAAATATAACTCACGAAGCGAGCGAACCAAATGATATGACAACCGGTTAGAAAATGAAATGCGATTCCTAACCATACAATACATGCTCACCATTAACTTGTATTAATTATTAATACCACATATTACGTGTACATCAATTTGCATATGATAATTTACAGTAAAAATAAGGAAACAAAGAATTGGGTATCAGATTCCTCTAAGCAATAAAATGGGAATAAACTACTAGCAGCTGTATGCTCTCCTTAATAGATGAGTTTTCAGGAGGCGTTTAAAAGCGGCAACATTGATGGCATGGCGGATAACCGTAGGTTTGGTGCTGCAGCAGAAAATGAATGGTCACCAAGAGTAATGAGAGTTCTTATAATTATTGGGATGCTGAAGTAATAGTTTGTCATCAGAAGACCTTAGATTGTATCAAGGAATAATTGTAAGTTTTAATAGTTCTGTAATATATGCAGGAGCAAGGCCATTTAAGGCTTTATAGGTAAAAAGTAAAATTTTGAATTGAATTCTGTAACTAATTGGCAGCCAATGGAGGCTAAATAAGGTGGGGGTGATTTCTTCGAAGTGTCCAACATTGCAGATCAGCCTGGGAGCTGCATTCTAGACTCGTTGGAGCCTTTGCAGCAGGTTAAGCCATACAAGAGCCCATCCGCACCCGGGAAGAAAGCCTGAAGGAAAAAACTTTAAAAAGTGAACAAAGTCGCACTACCCAAGCAGCTAATTTCCGCCAACTAGCTAATGCAGCTTCTTGAGAAACTTGCTGCCCAACTGTTTGTGGCTTGCTGGATGATTCTTTTCAAGGTGCTGTCGTAATCTTGTCCCACTGGCCGTTCAAAATGAGCACTCCAGGCAAGCGAGAGGTTTGGAGTGTGACATCATGTGGTGGTACAGGTTGTCCCATTTGAAAAATGTGCTGCAGCACCCCTGAAACGAACAGACCCAAGATCTTTCTGGTGCTCGTTCTCCAGCTGATGCCAATGCAGATGTGCAGTGGTCTCTTGGTGAAGGCTCATCTTCGCCCCCCTTTTAGGTAGAGAATGGGCAACCCGCGAAAGGGCAATTAGGGGGCTCATCAATTGCACGGCATAGTCCATGGGGGAGAATCAATGCAACACCAAATTGGTCACTCCTGCCGATTTCAGACCTTCTAAATATCCTAAGACCGTTAATGGCTCCTTGAAAGGCTGCAGAAAAGGAAGTTTCAAAGTAGCAGGTTGTTATCATGCAATGCTACTGTGAATGATAGGTATCAGTGACTGTTAAAGTGTACAACAAGGTCTGAAGGAGGTACATACAGTAGTGGATGTCAGGTGCATCCTAGTAAGTAGAGGCTAGTTAAGAACGCAGTAGGCAGCTAATATGTCTCCTATACTGCACTGAGTTGGTTTTAAACATCAGCAAGACGCTATGGAGTGTACACTTGGGCGTCGTAGTTGTCGAACTGATTGCGGAGGAATAGTAAGAAATGAAATATGGTAAGGGTAAGGTGTTGTGAAATTATGGGATTTGTCAGGATATTCTGAAAAGAGCAACATCCAAGAGGCCTACTTGCCAAAAACTAGCATTTCGGGGCAATTGTCTCTGAGATATTAGCGCAGTTATGCTCTGATGACTCCATACAAATCCTTCTAAATTTGACTTGGGTCTAAACGTGAGTCTTGACTGAATCATAAAACTCCTTCTGGTGTTAAGCAATTACCAAATCATGAGCATCTATGCCAAAAATTACTACAAAGAATTCTGATTGACGATTTTAAAAATGTCGTACTTTCTGTGACACTAAAGAACAGATATAATTAGCCACATTTCCTAGGTCATCTCCGTTATTCAACCTGCAAAACAACTGAATTCGCTGGATGCGTCAGGTTAATTATGCCAACAAAACGTGAAAGTTTCTTATTTCTTTATTGGGATTGGGCGCCTGACATTTCGCCCGCTGCCTGTCATGCACAGTGTTGTTAGCAGTAGCCGCAAACTGCTCGACTGCTGTACAGCTAACAATGGCCGACCTTCTTCTCAAGGTCTCTTTCATCATCCCTAAAAACCAGAATGAAGTAATTAGGGCAGTCTAGATGAGGAGTCCGAGACATCTTTCTTCAAGAAAATGGGGACGTCAAGAAGTCCAGTTTAAAATTTCTCACCCAATACACTGGCATCAGCGCTTCCTTGCAGTGCTGTGAGATGAGAACGGGAAAGAAGTTCAGTGCCTAATTTCCAACCGAGTCATGGGAGCCACATTCTGCGGAAAAGAACCTTGAGACTAGGAGCATTTTCAAGTTTGAAACTTCGCAATTACGATCGAGGAAATAACCTTTTTCTTTTACAGACTGATTGAGCTATTTCTCGCACACAAATTGGTCGAGAGCCATATTGTCGATATGGGAACAAACTATAGAGACGACGTGATGAAGGGCATAATTTGATTGTCTCTTTCTTGGGCCTGCGATTTCCCAAGAAGCTCCAGCCGAGATAGACGTCAAAAGCTCTCAATGGTATATGATAGTTTTTCAAGATCTGTGCTCTTATCTACCAGAGAACGGGAACGTTGTTCCTTCCACCTACAGTTCTAAGCCTTTTGACGTCATAATTTGTAGGGTTCGATAAGAGTAAAGAACATGGACGACAACAGTTGTTAATTAATTTGTTATTTAGAGTCAGGGAAGTCATCAAGGCTTTTGGAAGTGACAGAGGATTACTAAGTAAAGGAGCTGAGGTCGACAGTGGCGTAACATTTCAGAGAGTATGCATCAACAAATCCTTCCATGACTATGACTACGTTATTTAAACCAACTTTTTTTAGCTACTCCGATGCTGCAACCCAGCACGTCATCTTCATAGGTTTCGTAAAACAGTTTGAAACCATCCACTGCCTCGTAGTCTTCCTTAGTGGTTAAATTCTTCTGCGGTTTAACCAACCTGTAGTTATAATGGGACTTAACATCCCGCAGATATTTGGCATGGGCATTAGCCGGTCTTAAATCGCTATGAGACAAAAGATAAACAAAAAAATCCGAAAAATTGAGTCTCTTGATTTCATAACGGACATCAACCATGAACAGAAAGTGCACATTATCTTCTGCCCTGCGAATAATTTCTTGGAGAATTAGACAGAGTCGACAGACGACATTTTAATTCCCTGCTGAGAAATGAGGCATCCAATTCATGAAAAGGAAATCTACATGATTCCTCAATATATATTTCGTTCTGTTCCCTTTCGCTGTTTTGTACCCTAAATGATTATCTAATACATTATAATATTTACCCCACTGCTCGGCCATTGAATTTTGCATGTATATTTTCTATTCATTTGTTGGAGGTAATAATTAAACTGAGAGAGCTCATTCCATATAAACCTTACCGATATAAGACGGAGTTTCCGTCTAGATGTTTGTCGTTAACATCCTTTACATGTAAAGCCCAAGTCCCAGCCTTCTCTGACCACCCGCCCAGCCGGCATAACGTGGCCACACTTGCTCGCGGGAACACTCCTTTGTTTCTGACACATTCATTAATTATGAAAGTGGTGACCATCCCCTACAACAAAGATAATGAACCAATGTATAAAAATGTATAGCCTGGGCCGGAAATTTTTGGCTGATTTTTATATATAACTCAAGGACCCGCTGAATTAACATGTGTTCAACATGTGTAACTAATTCTGATGAAACGAACACTTTTTAACTTCTTACTTTCCATAGATAAATCGACTCAGAAAACTGACAGTGTATATAGTGTATAAATTATTTGCCACAACACTCATGTAGTTGTGAGCGCCGAACATAATCATTGAATAACAATGAAAGAGTAAACCTAACAACCTATCTTCATTTATTTCTTGTTTGTCCCATCAATAGACATTTTAAAATTGGTTTTGTTTGATGGTTTGTCCCTAATATCTGCTTCTCAACCCTTTTTCGTCAATGTTACAATAGGGATTATTCTGCTCACCGACCTGTTACAATGATGCTCATCTTTCTCGCATCGAACACGTTCTCCTTTACCAGACACTTAAACTTGCTAGTCATCTCACGAATGGGCGTCTCATTCTAAATGATACACTTTACTCAGTTCGTTACAACGTTTTAAGTTAGTGTTCCTTTAACCAGCAGTCTTTATCAGTGTTGAATCCCGACTCACAATGATTGAAGCGGTACCAAATTAAAAAAGAGCGGTGAAAAACACAACAAAACACAATATGAAGTGATCTGTGCTGAGCAATCTAAGTTAAAATGGATAATAAATATATTACAGAAGATATGTAGAAGGATAATTCAATTTGTCACTTTTGGTAAAAGGAAGAGAGTGACTTAATGATTTTATATTTACCTGTATCGTGCCACTTGATGGGTCTGCGTGCCATTTCTCGGCCTCCTCCTTAAGTTCAAATCGGCCAGTCTCAAAAGACTCTTCTGGCTTTAGCAGAAAGGCTCCCCGTACTGCCAAGAAGAGGAAACAACGTTGCTGTGTCGTACAGGGAGCCTTTCTTCAGAGGGGTAAACTGGAATGGACGTGTGCAAGTTAATGATGAAAAAAAAATGTCACATGATTGAATAACTAATGCATCGCGGTTTGGGTTATGATAGGCTTCATGTCCGCGAAATCTCCAAGCCCAGCAGCTGATTTGTGTATTTTACCAATTTTGCCTCCACTACTCAACCGGTACACACAAGACAACAATGTTCATATATGGGCGCGTGGGCCAGCCAAGCCCCCGACAAACTCGAAATACTAGCTTTAGTATAATCTGCAGCGGCCCCTAATCC